AACCTCTCGTCTACTTTTATTAGCAGCTACGTCCTTAATCGTCATATTGATGTTTTTCTGGATATCACAGGACTTCAGCATCTTTATGACCTTTTCCTCCATTCTTTGAATGCAAGCTGCTTCCTCCTCCACGCTGCTCGTACTTCCCCGTCTCTCCACCTTGTCCACGGTGATCTGCGGTATTCCCAACGCTTTGTTGCCCTCCTGTATCCTTGGGCTACTGGCCACTGCCCTCGTGCTGACCGCTTGATGATTGTAACCAGTGAGGGATTTAGCCTAAGCATTACATATTTTGTGTAAAATTTGCTGGAAAAGCGTCACTTTTCTTTAAGATACTACTACACTTTAGAATTTTAAAAAAATTTATTTTTTTTATTGTATTTTTTACCTCCTTATGACTTCAGAAAACACCTCCCACTATAAATAGTGGGGTTTCAATTTGCAAAAGAATTTTAGGTAATTTATGGATGGCCTCTAACGATACATATAAGTTTAAACGCGTTTTTCTCAAAATAACGTTTTCTCAAATTGCGGACAGTTTATCTCTGAATCTACTGAACCGATTTTAATAAATGATAACTCGTTTTGTTTGTTAGCATGTCCTGTGTGAGAATTTACCAAAAAAATGGTCAAAAAATTAAAAAAAAACATTTTTGCAGATTAGAAGAATACTGAAAAACAAAGTGTATTTTTAAACAAATTATTGAAGCATCTGCTATTTTTTTATTTTAGTCGATTTTTCATTATTGGTGGTAGATTTCTATGCAAGACACCATCCTTTTTAAAAAGCATTTTGGATTTTTTGTTTCTGATTTGTCAATCTTGAGATAAACTGTCCGTAATTGGACAACTAACTTTTTGGAGTTTCGATCTGAATGCTGCCTGCAGATTATGATATTAAATAAAAATTAAAAACAAACCATTATTTTTATTCTCCAAATATGTACTAATATAGGCAAAAAAGTTTTTTAAATATTTATAATAAAAGACCTAAGAAATTTTTTTTTAAAATTTGGTCTTTTAAGAGCCTTCTAAAGTGTAGTAGTACCTTAAAATAAATGCAGTAAAAAATGGTTCTTCTGCATATTTAAAAGTGTGGAGAAAAGTGCACTTTTCTGCATACCTGTCTATATGCACCATAATATATAATATGGAAAAGTGGGTCAAAACGGGGTATCTTAAAGGAATCTTGTGTTTACAAAGAATCGAATGAACGAATTAATTTCATTCACCCCAAGAATTCTTTATTTATTTCACCCTTTGGAGGTCACAGTGAGTTTTTGAAATATGCATTTAGATCTTAATTTTGCACTTACACAATTCCTCCAAATATTGACATATTTTAGAAATTATTTCCGTCTTTTGACTTATGAATTTTGCCCACCATTTAATTCTTTTGTTAGTTTTGAAAATGTTAAATTGTTTACTGAATTTACAGTTTAACTGATTTTCAAAAGTGAATTACTTTTCAAAATCTGTTGTATAAATTTTGACCTAAATATTACAGTCAGATCATTAATTTTTTACCCTTTGTTCATTTATTCGTATATTTCTATTTGTTTTTATTTTTTTGTATTACACTGTAAAATATTTAGGGAGTAAATAGGATCAGGTATGGGGCCATTCACATATTACATGATATATTTAGGGGTGAAAGGAGGGTAAGCAAAGTATCACGCTTTAACAAATTTTCTATACTAAACTATAGAAAAAGTATCACACAGGGAGGAAGAGGGTCTAAAATACCTAAAATATCTATCACGTAATATGTAAATGACCCCTATTGGAAGTAAAATTTTTTGTGTTAAAAATCTACTCGAAAAGTGGGTTAAAGAGAAATGAAACAAAAAGAGTTATGCATTAATTTTTTGTAGTTATTTCGCAGTTACAATTAGTGAACTAGTTAAAAAAGAGGAGACAAATTTTAACTTTTTATATCACTATTTCAGCTAGATTTGGACCTGAATTTAGTTTATCAGCTCATTCTGACCTGTGAATCATAAACATAATTCTTTTTAGGGTTCCGTACTCAGAATAAGCTGTCCCCTCCTTAACTTCTACATATCTCAACCTGGTGAACTGAAATTCGGTACAGATACATATTTTCACGTTTAGATTACAGGAAAAATACAGCGAACCCGATTGAAAGTCATGGTTACGAACTAGCACTGAATGAAATCGATTTTTTCAGAAAAAATTACGACAAATGACCCTGTTCCCCCACCTAAACTTCTACAAATCATGATCTAATCTAATGAGCTAAAATTCGGTACACATTCTTAATTTTAAGTGTAGATTACAGGAAGAATATAGCAAACCTAATTGGCTGTCATATTTGCGAACTAGAAAGGAAATAAATCAAATTTTTTTTTTAAAATTTCAAAAAATGACCCTGTCCCCCCACTTAACTTCTGCATATGAGGCATTTTACGTGAAATGTCCTAAATTGAAATTTCAACTTCTTGAAAAAATTAAATCTCAGAGAATTTGTTGTTCTATCAAGTAGAAATGTGCCCCAAAAAACATGTTTAATTTTTTCGAAAATTTGGAAGGGGTAGAGGTAGAGGGGGGTCAATTTGACCAATTTTGCTAACACCAGCTACTTTGTGAATTTTTTCTAAACATACTTGTAATGGAAAAATTTTGTAGAATATGTTTCGGAAAGGTTTTTTCGTCCTCTTTCCAATGGTGAATTTTATTTTTTGATATTTTAAAAATTGACACAAATGTTTCATGATTAATATTTAATTTTCAATTTCCCAAAAATCGGTCCGTTTTATTTGAAAATAAATTATTGCAAACGAAAGCTGAAGTTTTTTCCTATCGGCATGTAAATTTGCAGAATGCCCTATTTTTGGTTACTGACATTTCACGTAAAATGCCTCATATAAGGACTTGGAGAGTTGAAATTCAGTACACATACTCATTTTTACGTGTAGATTACGGGAAAAATATAGCGAACCTGATTGGTGATCATATTTGCAAACTAGGAGAGAAAGAAATTTAATTTTTTCGAAAAAATTTTAAAAAATGACCCTTCTACATATCGTCACCTATTGGGCTAAAATTCGGTACACATTTACATTTCCAATTGTAGATTTGAGAAAATTTTAGCGAACGTGATTGGGGTTCATATTTACGAACTTTTTTGATTCGCATATATTACTTTCAATCAATCATATTTGTTCCCATATATATCTTTGTATAAAAAACGAGTTTAATTTTGGTGTACGGAACCCTCGATTTTTTTTAATTTAGACATAAATTAAGATGTTTTATTTTTTGAGACTTATAAACTTCAGTTTACATTTACGTTTGCTTTTTTATATCTCAATTTCAAATTCAATATTAGGTTTTTGTTCCCCTCATGACCTCAATTTTGAGTTCTCGTATACTATTTTAGACCTAAATTTTGCATTTGTATTTTCTTTTCATCTTTTAATGTTGACTTAAATTTATTACATTATTTTCGTTTTTTTATACCTGTGAATTTGTTTTACTATTTAATGATAATGTTTTCTCTTTAATCATCGAATTTGAAATTAGGCTTTAATTTATTTATCGTATTTGGACCTGTCAATTATAACCTAAAATTCGATTTTTAAATTTCGACCTCCACTTTTTATGCTTTTGAATTTTAAATTATAATTCAAATATTCCATAAGTTTTCAGTCTTTTAGCTCATTTTAACCTATAAATCATGATCTTCATTTTTTTAAAATTCGCGACCTAATTCTCAATGCTTTATTTCTTTTCTGATTTATAAATTTATCCACCTAAATTTTAATATTATATCAACTGAGATTTTTGATTTAAATTTTTTAGATTATGCTCGGTTTTTGACTTTTGATTTGAAGCCACTATCCTAAATATAAAATTACATTAAAAGTTACATTGCTGAATACTTGAAAGTAAGACTATGGTGATTTTTTTTAAGTAGTTCTAAATTACTTTTAATATAGTCATAATAAGCTGGGTTAATTGCATTTTTTATTATTAATTTTCCCAATTAAAACTTGTTGAAGGAGAAAGAATAAAAGTTTATATTTTAAAAGAGTGAATATTCAAAGGTCTTGCTCTATTTAACGAGTTTGTTGTATGTATTGAATTTATTAATTTAAAACTTATTACAATTTATAAATTGAATAAAAAAATTGACATTAAAAAGTTTCTGGAGCAGAAGATATTGTGTTCCGAGTATATAATTATCAACCACTTGATATTTCTTTCATTTTCTTATGTTTTTATATTCGTGAAGCGAAGATGTTGAATAATTCTCTTATTCCGTACTCTTTTCTCAGTATTCTCATAAATAATTAACTTTAATATTTCATTTGTATCACAATAGGTATAAAAATATATGAGTTTTCAGTTACGAGTTCTTTAATATGGGAATTAAAATTGCCAAGTACAAATTTAAAAACATATTTATTAAGCCAACAATTTCTCTACTTTAATTCTTCTATTATATTTGAAACTTACTTTAATAGTATATCTATATTATTTTTTAAATTAGGATATTTGCTTTTTAATGTCAAAAAATATATTTTTTTGCTTACAATAATTTCTTTGGTCTTTTGACCTACAAATCTTGATATAAATCAAAGGTCATTTTTGTTTGAATTTTTTTACTTAATATTATCTATAACGTTACGTGAGTTTTGACTAACACTTTAAATGTGAATCAGTGATAATTTTACAGATTCAGATTTAGAGTGTATAATTTTAAAATTATGTTTGTTCCTTTACCTAAAATTTCTGTTGACCGATATAAAGTTACATTGTGTTTTTAAACTCAATATTTTAATTTAAAAAAATATAATTTAACATATAAATTTCAAATTGAGGTTGCGAGTTGACACTCGAAAGAGACAGACGTGTTTATCAGAGTACAGATAATAACAAACGGTTATTGATACTATTATTTCATTTGAATCACTGTGAATTATAATTTGAATCTATATCCTTTTAGTCTTATTCAACTAAGTGCATTTGGAAAAATGGGTGAAAATAATGAAATAATGACCCTATTAAGAGAAGTGCAAAGTGACGTGCAGTCATCTAATAAAAAGTTGGATACAGTGGTCAAGGATATGGACGATCTTAAAGTGTCTAATGAAAAGTTATCAAGTGAATTTAAAGTACATAAAGTGAAATATGAACAAATTCAAAAAACTAATGAAATTTTGCAACAAAAAGTTGACTCTTGTGAGCAGAAATTAAATTTTATTTTAAATAAGGAAAGAGCCAGAAACCTTCTATTGTTTAAGGTACCGGATAATCAAGAAGTAAATAAAGACTTGTATAATTCAGTGATGAATATATTTATTAAAGCAAGTGTGAATATTCCGGATAGTTGTATTGTCAACACAACTAGGCTTGGTAGAATTGAAGGCTCAAGACCTATTTTGATTTCATTTACAAGCCAAAAATGGAAATCAATTATTTTCTCAAAAGCAAGGAACTTTGGAGAGATGAAGATTGGCCTCGGTAATGATTTGACTAGAGAGGAAAGGCAAAAAAGAAAATCCGATTATGAACTTCTGATGAAATATAAGGGTGTTTTGCTTCAACAAGGGAAGGAATGCACTATAAAAGGAATGAGGTTGATTATCAATGACACTGAGATGAATGTGGATGAAATAAAAGATATTCTCAAAAATCAAAAGGATGACATTGATAGTGACACCGAAAATGATAACTCCTCCTTCTCAAGAACCTCCAATACCAGTCGTAAAAGAGTAAGAACTATTGGTGATAAAGATGATATTAAAAAGAAGCAGAAAAAATTGGTGAAATCAACAGTCAATTCTTTGATTAAAGCATTTCTTCTGAAGGATGTATCACAAAAGAACATGCCTGATACTTCTTCCCCGCCTGCTGAAAATAAATAGCTAAGCTCTGTAGAAGTGAACCCCCGGATCTTTTTTTGGAATATCAAAGGATGGGCGAATATCGAGGATATAATATATAAATTGAAGGATGTTGACATTTTATGTGTTGTTGAAACCTGGCTTACTTCCCCCCCAAATGGATATTACCTATCTGGACGCGAAGTCATTTTCAGCCGTGCTACGAGGAATCATGCCGTGGGTAGAGCAAGTGGAGGAATACTTATCATCTTTAAAAAGTCGGAATATAATTGTGATATTTTACATGTGTCTGAGGATTTAATTTTTGTAAGGATGTCAAATGGTAATGTAAATTTTATACTTGGTGTTGTGTATAGTGTTCCCAACTCTGACATTAATAATCTTTGTGATGAATTGAATGATAAATTTGTTAATTTTAACTCGGAATTTTATAATTTACCAGTAATTATAGGGGAGATTTCAATGCTAGAATAGGTGAACTGAATCAATTAGATGAAAATATTTTACCAAATAATGTTAATATTTTAAGTAATAGACAAAGTTTAGATAAAATTTTAAATAAAAGGGGTGAAAATTTAGTAGATTGCATGGAAAATAATGGTTGTATTGTTTTGAATGGCAGAACCAGGGCGGATACTTTTGGTAATTTTACATTTGTTAGTAAACTGGGCAATTCATTGATAGATCTAGTCTGGACTTCCTTACAGGGTTTATTAATTATAGATGATTTAGAAATTTGTAACATTGTAACGAGGTCTGACCATTTTCCAATAGTAGTAACTATCAATAAATTAATGAAAAGTAAAAATAAAATAATAAAAAAAATGAAGTGGAAAGATAATTTGGAAAAAGAATATAAAGAAAGTATGTTTTTATCTGCTTATATTTCTACCAATAATGCAATTAATGATTTGGCTAGTGAACTTATTAAAACAATAACTGAGAACGCGAAGAAAATTGGTATGTCGACAATAATAAGTAACAGATCTGGAAACTCGAAGCCCTGGTTTGATGAAACATGTGTAAACTAAAAAAAATCACTAAAAGAATTGTTAAAAAAATGTAAAGAACAGAAATTTGAATCAAACATTTTATCTGATTACTGTAATAAAAAAAAAGAACACAAAAATTTATTAGGTGATAAGAAGAACGCTCATAGACTCCAAACTCTTAACGAATTATCTCACGCTAAAGACTCTACAACATTTTGGAAAGTAATAAATAAATACAGATTTAAACCAGTTTCACATGAAAATATTGAGTTACAAAAATGGCATGACTTCTTTCAAGACTTTTATTCTCGGGATATTTCAAAACCTCTGAAAGTTGAAATTTTCTCGAATGGAATTATTAATACGAGTTTAGATTATCCTATAACGATTACAGAGATTCTTTCATCATTAAAAAAATGTAAAAATAATAAAGCGGCTGGTTCCGATGGAATCACTTATGAATTTTTTTAAAATTTACCTAACATTTGGATAGAGTATATGAGTGTTCTTTTTAACAAAATTATGAATTTAGAAGTTGTTCCTGATTCTTGGTCTGACATTCATTTAAAAATGTTGTATAAAAAAGGAGACGAACAGGACCCGGACAATTTTCGCCCGATAGCATTGGTAAACAATGTGACAAAAATTTTTACTCAAATTTTAAATGAGAGATTGGTAAAGTGGGCAGATGAGGAAAAATTAATTCCAGAATTTCAATCTGGATTTAGAAAAAAAAGAAGCTGTCTGGACAATATTTTCACTTTGAACTCTATAATACAATTGAAGATCAGTGCTAAGCGGGGGAAATTGTTTGTCCTGTTTGTCGATTTTAAAGGTGCATTTCCATCTGTCAATCACGAACTCTTATGAAAAAACTTGTACAATCAAGGCATGGGCGACAAAATAACAAAAATTCTCTTGGACTTGTACAATAAGGCTAATGTTTCTGTTAGAAATAATGACGGTATTTCTGAATCGACCAGAGTTACAAATTTTTTTATTATGAAAATTTCACTGAAGTCTTGGTTGTACGGACAACTCGGGTGTGTGTCCGTATAATCCAAATAGGTCACCTTGACGAAAAAGTATAAATATGCAGGACAGTACGAAGATTCGTTTTGCCCTCGGTTGAAATAGAATCGCCTGCTAATTTTTCTTATATCTTTGAAATTTATTAATATAGTGTAAAATTGATAATTTGAATTTATTAAATTACATTTGTAGACAAATAAATAAATTAATTAATATTGTCTGATAGCTCACTAACAATTTTGAGGTTAGGTTATATCAAGGGGAAAAAAGGATCCAGTGATAGGTGCGCTACTGACATCATCGAGTCAAGCACGACCCTTCCCTTCACCCCTCATCCCGTTTCAGCGCCATCACATTCCGTATAACCAATTTCCGTATAACCAAGACTTCAGTGTATTTTAAATTTAATGAAAAGAGACATTAAATTGTCTAATTAACTTAAATAGTTTATTTAATTTTTTTATTACTTACACAGGAAAAAAAAAGTCTGACTCCGTTTACACTTTAAATTCAGCCCATGTATTTCACATAAGTCTGTCCTTGTTTAACGGGGCTGACTCCGTTTACACCTTAAATTCAGCCTCAAAAAGAGGCTGAAAGTAAAACTTCTTTTTTAGTGTGTAGTTAATTTATATAAAAAACAAATGAAGTTAAAAAATTATTTTTATTTTTGAGGAATCGAAATAAGTATTGGAATAACTAAATAAATACCTTATTGAGAGAAGAAGAGAGATAGAGAGAGAAAGAGAAAGAGTTGAAGAAAAGTAATTAAATGGTAGCATTACAATATATATATATATATATATATATATATATATATATATATATATATATATATATATATATATATATATATATATATATATATATATATATATATATTGATGTTTAATTAGCAATGTATTTATTATAATGCTGTGGTCAATTCAGAATTGTTTTTTCTTTTTGAATCGTAAGGTTTATAAATTGAGAAAAAGAGAATCGTCATCGTCTGTTAATTTTCGATCGACGATGCCCGCTGAAGCTCGTTAATCATTTTGTCTCTAAATCACTTTATGTTGTCTCTCTTTTAATTTCCAAGGTATACGCAACCAAGGAACAGCACGTACAAACATATTGTTGTGTTGACAGTGAAAATCATTGTACGAGAAACAAATGCGCAATTCCGCGGCCGATGATGGCTTCAGTCGCTGGTTAAATGACTTCCTGCTGATTCAGCATTTTATCTCTCTCTCTCTCTCTCTCTCTCTGCGTGTGTTGCATTCAACGACGGCAATGCGTCTGATTAAGGTCTTTATACAATTTTCGAATGAGTTCGTGTCAAGTAAAGGGAGAAAAAAGAGAGAAAGAGAGAAAAAACATAAACTCCTAAATGAAGTTCAAATTAGATTTTGCTAATTGACCTCTGTAATGACAATTAAACTTTCCTGTTGGTACTTACAACGAAGCGTTAAAGTTTCTACATTCTAAATAATACTTGTGTAGTTTATTTTCGAATTTGCTATGTTTCGTTGGTCTTTTATTACTTTTGATTTTTTTTCTATTTTTAGTTTTGATCACAAATTTTTTTAGTTATGTTTATTTTTTTACAATTTTGCCTTAAAATAATGATGGTTTCCTTAATTTTTTGTTTTTATTTCTATCATTTTCTCTTTTTTGTTTACATTTACATTTTATTTTTGCTGGATTTTAGTTTCGACTTATTTTCAATTTTCAGTTTTCCTGTTCCAAATTTTTATTTTCATTCTCTATTTTTCGTTTTTATTCTACTGTTTGGATTCGTCCTTTGTTAATTTTGAGTTTTATACGTTTTTAATTTCTATAGCCCGTGTAAAAATTGCCATATTTAGGCCATAACATGGCATGAAACATCTTCCCAGATCGGACCCAAGTCTGGCCAGACTTGGGCCCGATCTGGAAAGGTGTTTCATGCCATGTTATGGCCTACACAATTTTAATTTCGATTTTATTTTTTATTATTATTTTTATAATATTTAATAATAATTATTTAATCTTTTATAGAATAGAATAAAAGTTTTGTCCCTGAAGTTAGCGTCTACGCTGATCTTTAAAGGCGAAAATTTCACTAATTTTCTAGATAATTTCCATTCTTTTATTCACCCAGGAAGTTAAAAAAACATTTAGAGCACTTTTTTAATCCAAAAACTTTGAAATAATCATCTCTAACATGTAACACTACCCAAGTAAATGTAAATTTTGTAGATAATTGAAAAATATTTTATGCCTGTTTTTTTGTTTCGGCAGACATGATGTTTTAAGGATGAAAAAAAGTGTTAAAGGTTGATTCTTTACCATATTCAGCTACAAATAACTCAAATGTCAAAGATTTTTAAAAATTGATCGAAAACGACTGAAACTTCTTACACGGGGGTTTTTGAAGTCGCTGAATTTAAATTTGATGTCAGATTTTCAAAATTCAAAATGGCGGAAATAAAATGGCGGCTAAAAATTTTAAAGTTAGAAAATTGAGCTGAAAATACTGACTTGGGGGTTTTCGAGGTCGCTGAGTTCAAATTCCATTCAGATTTAAAAAATTTAAAATTGCGGAATCAAAATGAAGGTCAAAAAAGTTAAAAAGTTGTCAGATTGAGTTGAAGATACTTACTAGGGGGTTTTTAAGGTCGCTAAATTTAAATTTGATGTCAGATTTTCAAAATTCAAAATACTGGATTTCCAGCTTAATCCGACAACATTGAAATTTGTTGGCCGACATTTTGAATTTTGGAAATCTGACCTCAAATTTCAATTCAGTGACCCCAAAAACACGCGAGTAGAAGTTTTCAGTGTTTGTAATCAATTTTAAAACACTTTGATCATTTCAATTATTTGTGACTGAATATAGTAAAAAATCAACCTTCAATCCCTATTTTTATCCCTTAATGGTTTATACCACTTTGACATCTTCAAAAAATGAAAAATTTTTTTTTATGGATTTCGAAAGTAAAATATGTCAAAAATGTGGTGTAGAATTTTTAG